GACTGCATTGGGGTTCATTTCTTTTTTGGATATTTTGCTGCTGGTGGGCATTGTGTAAAAGAGATGCTTGGCAGGTCCCAGGCAAGGGGGAGCCGCACGGGCAGGCACGTTCCTAGGGCACTCAGTCAAGGCCTCGGGCTCTGCCCCGCCCACCTCCCCAGCTGCCTCTTCACACTCCCAGGGGTCTGGACACTGGCTACACAGTGTCTTCACTCGCTGGTAAATGAGTCTGAAGAAAGCAATCCCCTGCATCCCATTTCTGGGTGTGAAGTTAGATCACGCCATTGTCAGAGGTATAAAAAGTCATTGTGAGTCACTGAGGAAAATCTACACTCCAGCTGATTTCGTGAGAACTTCTTCTGAAGACAAGTCAGAGATAGAAAGATTCTCTGAGAACTCGGCCTATGTACCATTCATAGGCTCTGTGTACAGCAGGGCAATTTATTTATTGACTAAAAACAACATTGCTTTTAAATGCTTATGCCTGAACTTTTCCCCATGTTGCCATAATTTTTACCTTTGAATAAGCAGCACATGATTGGAAAGTAATGACATTCTAAGTAGGAAATTTGCTTAAATGAATGTGCATGGTAAGATCTGTTTGAGCATCTGCCTCACAAATAAATACAAAGACGTAAATGTGCTTCTTTTTGTCCAATGAATCCCCCAAAAGTGTTATCTCATGAACAGGTTAGATGTTGGGTGCACACCCATCACCTATTTTTGGAGGAAAAAACAGGATCAGCTCTTTGCTCGGGGGACCACACGCTGTGAGTGCACTGGTCACAGCTGTCCTGACAGCCGTTCCGCTCTGTTCGGATTCCGCTGTCGGCCTGACCTTTCCAGCCCTGAAAGTTTCTCAGGAACTGAGCCATCTGCCTCCTTCTCCAAGACTCAGCCAAATTCCACGGTTGTGGGATAGGTCATTCTAATATCAACAATCCCAGTTGAAATTTTATGTATGATTCCTTATTTGATATTCTGTTTTATCATCATCATCATATTGTTATTATTTATTCTGGAATCTCTGAGTTTAAAGGCAAGGTGGGTTTGTTTGCTTACCGTTGACACCTAGCAGAGTACCTCGCACGTATTAGGAGCTTAATAAGTATCTACTGAATAAATGAGTAAGTTAGGCTAAAGAGACAGATCAAATATGTCTGTGTCTTTTCTACGTTTAAAAGATTCTGCTGCATGGAGCTCTTACAAAGGGTTACAGAGCATAGGTCCAGCAGCAGGCGAGGAACTCGCATAGATGCTCTGATTAGACCCTTCCGACAGCCTGAAGGGGCGATTCTCTTGTCTGCATTTTACAGGCGAGGAACCAGGTTGAGACAGATCGCACATCTCGAAAGTGGCACAGCCACGCTTCCTCCTGATTGATCCGAGTGCTGAGGCCACAGGGACCCCATGCTATACAGTCTCCCACACATTGATCAACAGGTGTCGAGAGTTCTCCACGTGGGAGAAGTAGCAATGTTGATTTCAAAACGAAAACATCCAGATCAAAAACTGGTCCAGGTAACTCAGAAGGTTGAACTAGTACTGGCCTTACGACCAGCCTGGTGAGCTAAGGCGGGCCGCTCACTGTCTCGCAGCTATTGTAACTCCCACAGCGCACACAGCATCTGCCTTCACCTGCTGCTTAGGGAAATGTACACCTCGCATTGCTGAAACAGTCCCAGCTGGCCCAGTGGGGTTAAGAATAGCACTCCTTTTATCCTCAAAAGTATTGCCCTTTAGATAATGCATTTGTCTCTCCTACTTTTCAGGGATCTTGTGGACCCTGCTGTGTGAGGACAGGACTGTGGTGTTCTGCTTGGTAAGTGCTTTGTCTTACCTGACACCCTTTAACTAAACCACTTGCCCCCCACAAAGCACTGCCCCCAAGCCTTACTCTGTGCTACCAGCTATTCTGTTCCATACTCTGTTCCATACCTCTCACAGGTGACACAGATGTAATTTCAATGCAGCTTCTTAGATATATGTGTATTTTTAAAAATCCAAAATAAATGGGCCCTTCTAATTAGGCAAGGTTAAGGTGGCTTCCTTAGTCTACTTTAACATGCAAGCTCTTGGGACTCGTCTCCAATTTTCAGCAATGATGGGTTTTCTGTACCTCACACTGAAACATCATGAGCCAGTCTTCACATTTAGGGAAGGGGCTTCATTTTCTGCCCTTTTGTCAAGTTCGTTTCTTTGTAGGCTTATCGTAATTTTATAAATGTTATGAGCAAATATGGGTGTGATACTTGGTACGTGCACCGGTTTGGAGTGAGGTGTCCCACAAAGTCTGGAAGGAGTCAGAGCGGCATGTGTCTCCTTGGTGTCTGTCCCCACCAATTCCGTACTGCACCCCCTGCTTCCTGGGCTTGGTTCAGTTTTAAATCAGCCGGCTCCTATCACGATTTCCTGTGACATAGGAACTCATTTGGTCCCATAAATCTTTTTATTTTATTTTATTTTTATTTTTTAAATTTTATTTAGTTATTTTTCAAGTACAGTTTTTTTTGTCTATTTCTCCCATCTCAGCCTCCCCCGCCCCTTGCTCCCCACCTCCCTCCCATTTCCACCCCCCTTAGTTCTCGTCCCTGTGTCCTTCCTATTTGTTCCTCCAAATCCCTCCCCCTTTTTCCCCTTAACTTCCCTTCCTTCTCCCCTGTGGTCACTGTTCCCTTGTTCTCTATTTCAGTGTCTTTTTTTTTTTTTTTTCTGCTTGCTTGCTTGTTTAGCTTCCTGTTAAAGGTGAGATCATATGGTATTTGTCTTTCAGCACCTGGCCTATTTCACTCAGCATAATGCTTTCCAGTTCCATCCATGTTGTTGCAAAGGGTAGTACTTCCTTCTTTCTCTCTGCTGCATAGAATTCCATTGTGTATATGTACCACAATTTTTTGATCCATTCATTTACTGACGGGTACCTAGGTTGCTTCCAACTCTTGGCTATTGTAAATTGTGCTGCTATGAACATTGTGGTGCATAGGTTCTTTGATATTGATGTTTTAGGATTCTTAGGATATAATCCTAGCAGTGGAATTGCTGGGTCAATGATCCCATAAATCTTTTATTGTTTTACTCAGGGTCTTCCAGAAAAATATAATATGAAAAATATTCTGTCAGACTAAAATGTCTTCATGATTTTAAGAAATTAGGCATCCAGTGACACAGTTACTATATTTTTAGGACTATAAGACGCACCTTTCTCTGCCCCAAATTTGGGAGGCATAATGGTTGTTAATGCTGCTGTTGAGTTCTGTTTACACTTACATTGGTGAAACATTATGTTATTTATGGTATTAAATATTTTATCACATTTTTTTTGTTTCAAAATGTTTTTTCCTAGTTTCTTCTTCTAAAACCTAGATGTGTCTTATGGCCCCAAAATACAGTAGCTTTCAAAAGAGAACAGTCAAACCTCGGTTCTCAGACATCTTGTTCTCAAACAGTTCAGTTCTTGACCAAGTTGTTTGCAGAAAAGACGTCTCTGTTGTCGGACAAAACTGGATCTCGGTTCTCTACTGGACCTCCCTTTCCGCTGACACCAGTGTGAGACACAATTTTCGAACAAACTGCTTCTTGCACAGTTCTCGGCAACAAATCAAGTTTGGAAGCGAGGTTCCACTGTACGTTGTTGCACGGAATACACCTGTAAAGAGTTTATCCTTGAAAAACATGAATTTAAAAAATATAGCCAAGTTCTCTATCATTTGCAAGGTCGTATTGTCTCCTTTTGGAAATTTCACAGCTATTGTGACAAATAACACTGATCCAAAAGAATTCTTTTTATCATAAATTTGTTAGTGTTTTATCTTTCTTTCCACAAGACTAAGTGAGGATTTAAAAAACTAACACCTTTTAACTCAAATAACTTTTCAGAATGGATTTCAATTTCTCCTGTATATTTTTGTATCCAGCTCTGCTTGAAAGACCAAAGAACCAAGGCAAAATGTTACCTCCGCTTCACTAAGAACAAGTGTGTGCACACACATACGAGGAACACAAGCGAAGGAAGGGGGTGCGAAGAAAAAGGAAAAGTAGTTGGTGAAGATGAAAAAGGTAGCGTAAGTCTAACTTTTGGGCTCCCTTCTACTGCTAAAATTTCAGAAATGTACCCCTTCTTGTTTGTTCATTGCAAATCAGTAAGGATTGGTATAGTGTAGGTCAGTGGCTGCCACCATTACCCATTAAAAATGCAACCATTTAGGCCCTATTCTAGACCCAGTGAATCAGACGCACTGGGGTGGGGCTTAGCAACCAGCCCCATAACACGCAGTCCAGGCGATTCAGAGGCACCTAAAGTTTGAGATCTGTCCTTCCAGAATAAAGGCTCCAAGCTAGGTGCTGGGGGCAAGCAAGCAGACCAGACGGGTAGTTCCCGTTCTCAAAGAACTTACAACCTCGTTCGAGAAAAATGCCAACTGGGGGAACAATCGTTCATAATTCCATGACAGCTAAACGCTGCCTCCCATGGGACCACAGACAGAGAGGTCCCATCCAGAAAGGCAAGATGGGACTTTGTGGCCGGCACGACCAGCTGTTCACAGAAACCCTGTGTCCTCTCCTCCCCAGCACACGGCAAGGCCGCACCCCCAGCTTCCTTTACTGGTACATGTGGCCAGGAGACCATGTGAGATTTTTCTGAACAGAATACGAGAAGTTATCCGTGCTGCTTCTGAGCCCTGGTTTCTCAGATGTGTTCTCTCTAAGCTCCTTCTTTATCTTTCTAGGAAGAAGTCCAGTTTCCTCATACATGACATTAAAGACCACCTTTAGACTCTTAAGTGAATGAGAACTAAACTTGCACGTCGCTTTAGCAATTGTTTATTTTAAATGGATTTAATATAGAAACGTGGTCTGCTCTAACTGATAGGCAGGATTATGCTGTAATACCAGGAGGGAAAAAGAGGTGCTGGTCCACTGAGAAAATGCGAGCAGAGTGGTGGCGTGTCATCGGCGGGCGGCACAGCAGGAGGGGCGACAGCATCAGCCTGTGTGTGCAGACAGGCTGGCTTTAGAGGGCGGGTGGGGAGAAGGGAGCAGAGCCAGGGATGCTTCGGTTACAGTCCCAGAGGCTGAAACCGGATCTTTTTTAAGGCGGTTTATTATCGAATGGAACAAGAAGTTCTGAGGAGACAGTCTCTGGTCGCACTCACCGAGCCTTTCTGCCATGAAGTGTCTTGTGTCTGTTCTCTCCCATGGGCTGACTTCACCCTCAGGCTTGAGACAAAAGGGGGGAGCAATTCTGGATCCCTGGTCCGGGTCTCACAGCATCCGGGGGAACAAGGTCATTTCCCCCATGACCACTGCTTCGAAGTGAGGGAAACGCTCCCGGAATCGTGCTCCTGCACACACAGACTTCTCCGGTCCCCTTCGTTGGCCCCAGCCAGCTGCCCGTCTCCAGCCCAGTGACCAGGAAGAGGACACGGGATCGCCGTGCATGGCTCAGATGGCCGCGTCTCCGCCCTGCTGGTCCGCGAGGAGGCCCCAGAGAGCTCTGATGGGATGTCGATGTCCAACAGCAGGGGTCTGAGTAATCGGTCTGGCTGGGGCTTTGGGCTGTTAGCAGTCTGCCCGAGGAATTTGACGCTACGGCCAGAACTGAGATGGAACGTGTATGGATCGTTGGAGATGGAATAGATACTGGGGAGGAAATGACAAAGAAGAGTGTAAGTGCCTCATTTTAATTTTAATATAGACTTTATTTTCTAGGCTGAGAGGAGCTATGAGTGGTTTCTAAGCCGAGGCCAGGGCTGTTATCGAGAAGTAACTCTGTGAGCGCTGGGCCCCGCTGCCCTGCAGAGAGCTGCCTGAGTCCTTGGGGGGCGTTCAGTCCACAGTGGGGGGTGTCTGAGTGGAAGAAGGATGCCGGAGACAAGGCCACTGGGTGAAGCTTCAGCCTTCACCCCCCACAGAGCATGGGCAGCATTAGAACAGGTCCAAGACCCATCGAATACTCTGTATCTACCCTGTAAGTAAACCTATGACTGTTTTTGGAAATCTGGATACATCATCAGGTTTGTATTCTTTTTATTTATTTGGCGTCCCTCAAATGCAGATTCTGAGTCTTTTTTAGATTTTTAAAACCTAGTTCTGTTCTCAGGGTCTGATGCTCCCCAGAGCTTTGAAGACACCATGGAAGGAAGTGAATTTTCCTAATCCCCCAACACAGAGGCCCTCACCTGGGGGGTGATTTTGCCCCCTAGGGAAGCTGCAGCAGTATCTGTGGACACCTTAGGTTGTCTCGGGTGGAAAGTGCTGCCGGCGTCCAGTGGGCAGGGCCAGGCACGTGTGTGAACAGTCGACAGAGCTCGGGGCCCCCAAAACCCACAGTGTCGGTCTGCTGAGGCCGAGAAACCCTGCTCTCGGGGTTTAGTTAAGACATTAACTACACTTGTTTCTGTGACCTCCCTACAACAGAGGCCTGCAAAATCTCCCAGGACTTTAAGGATTCTTAAAGACAACTCAGTTAATGATAGCCAAGCCTCAGAGACTAAATCTTGACCATTTTGGGTGGATCTAGCTGGTTATGTAAACCCTCCAATAAGCTTTCCAAGCTCTGACGACCCAGGACAGGAGGCCTGGGAGGCTCTCTGTCACTAGCGTGTGGCACCGTGGACGACAACACTGTGCACAGGCAATGTCAGCCAGTCGGTCCTCCCTGCATCAAGATTCGTCTGAACGTGACACTTTGTTTATTCTCTTGCCTTTTTGTTCTTCTGATTCATAAACAGCAACAGCAGAGCTGAACAATGGCCCCTTGTTGTTGCAGACACAGCTGCATCGATGCGTCGAGGCTGGGACGCCAAAACAATTCACGCGGTACCTCATCGGCCGCACGGTGTGTACCAGGCTCCCAAAGTGTGCGGAACGCGGCCTCCTCCGTGTTTCCATTCAAACCGTCTCCAAGTGGCCCCTGGCGTTCTGCACAGGCACACAGACACTGACTCGTACGAAGGTAAGGTCAGTAAACGTCACACAAGGGGCCACATAATAAATATTTTAGGGTCTGTGCGTCATTCAGGCTGTTTCACAGGAAAGCTGTAGTGGCTAATATGTAAATATGGGACCAGGCCCCGATAAAACTTTATTTATGGACTTTGAAATTTAAGTTTCATGAGATTTTCACATATCAGAAAATATTATTCTTTATTTTTTTCAACCACTTTAAAAGTAGAAAAAACATTCTTAGCTCATGGAATGGTGGTCACAACAACAGGTACTGGAGTGGATTTGGCCCATGGGCTGTAGTTCACGGCTTCTCCGTCTAAGGGATGGGCCGTTCCTGTAAGGAAAGAGACAGTCCAGCAGAAAAAGCCACGAGAACAAGAGTCTTACTTCAGATTTCCATTATACGCCTGAGATATTTTAAATACATTATTCTAATTTAACAGCAAAAATAACTTAATAATAAGAGCTATTATAGTCAATCAGCCTATAAAACTTAGAGCTAATTTGAATTGCACTGAACCAGGAAGTTGGACAAATTCGCAGTCAAAAAGGAAGTTTACTTTCTCCCCATCAAATCTCTACACCTACATAAAATTCCTCTCTTTCTGTGTCTCTTCTTGCAACTCCTCCCTTTCAGAGGAGCACTTTAATTCTTTGCTCCTTGAGCACGGGGCTGGTGTAACAACCAGCCTACAAACGTTTCATTCTTCCAGTCTCTTCATGCACAGCCCCACCAACCGCTCCATTCTGTCCCCTCTCACAAAGCTTCTCTCGCGCCCTGGCATCACCTCCGGTGTTAGCTGGATGAGGACTCCTGCCCCCTTGTGTTCCACTTTAAAGTTGTGTGTGGGAGAAGAGGAATCGTGAGGAGGGACTGGCTCCAGCACCGAGCGGAAAGGAATACGGTCCTGCCATTTCTGTGTCAATCTTCCCATCCATGAAAGGTATGGATGTCCTGGGTGCTTACTGAGACCTACTTAGTAATCAAGTCCTTTAAATATAAGCATAAGTTACGAACAGCATTTTGAAGACAGAATATTTCTTTTATTTGAAGTATTCTAGCTTCATAATTCCTCATAATTGGACTGAAGACTATCAGGTTCTTTATTTCTTTCTCTGAAGACCAGGGGCACCAACCAAGAACTGTGTTGACTGTTCAGGCTTTCTTTCCCTGTGTATGAGGGCATGGTGATGGTTCTGGTGGAATTCTTTTGATACATTCTGGTGAGTTTGTGGGGATGATGAAATTGTGGAGATGGAGGAATGGGGATAGGCGTTATTTACCAGAACACCAATAAGAAAGGTCGGAGGATAGTTTGTCTAGAGTTTATCCTCTCCAGACAATTGCCGGTCATCAGTCCCTCAGCCTGTGGGATTGTGTTTATTTTGCATCTCTCTGTAAGAGCAGCATTAGGAGAAAGAAAAGCTAATGACCAACCTTCTGCTTGTATCTAATGCCAATTAGACAAATGAGTTAGTTACTTTGTATTTTCTTCCCTACCCCAGTTACAAGCCTCATCTCATCTTAATATATTAGACAAAATGTGTTTTCTCTTCCCTTGCATCTGTGTAGTATCTAATGCAACATTAATTTAATGTTCATAAACCTAACCTATGAATGTGGTCCCACCCGAGGCCAGAGGAGAAGGAAACAGAAGTATAACTAAGTAGCCTGCTCAGGAGAAATAAAAGGGACTAGAAGTTTTCAAAGGGAAGATGAAAATTTAGAAGAACAAGCACACTATTGTTGCCTCAGACTCAGGAGAAACAAAAACAACAATTCTATTTTTGTTAATTTTCTAAATTATGGCCAGTCCTACTTTGCAAATAGGATCAGATGAGAAAGAGTCTACAAGTAGGGTTGGGAAAAAGGAACTGGGTGGCAATTTACCTTTCTAATTGAATACGGTGCAGATCAGGACAGTCGTTTGTCCTCAGAGGCTGAGAGGAAGGTTATGAGAGATCCAACAGGCAGGTATGGCTTAAAGAAAGGAAAACAAGTTGTTTAGAATTTCCACACAAGCACAGCATGTTTATGAACCCTGGTAAGAGTAGAGCTGGAGGCCAGAGAGGCTCATTTGAAGTGCATGTCAAGGCTCATGTCTTCTGGTGTCATTCTGATGGCCCGGTCCCAGGTCTGCACTGTGGGGCCACAGGGCTCTGTTCCCCAAGAGCAGTCAGAGAAAGCGCCAGGACTGAGCACTCCCACGACTCAGGCTCTGGTCAAAGCGGGCAGATGTTAAAGTAAATGTTGATCTTTGGGGTTAAAGGGAAACTCGGGAGCTTACTATACAAAACCAAGAAGAGTCCTTGAAGCTTTTAACCTCCTATTCAGAGCCTAGAAGTCACACATATGAGGCTTTAAGTTTATTCTAAACTCTTCAGCCTGTGATGGACAATAATGTGGTTTCTGTTTTTTTGCTCACTAGATTGCCTGTCTGTGTTTATTTGTGGGTTGCAGCTAACTGATCACACACCATATCTGTTCTCTTGCGGTAGACCAGCACTATTTGCTTTGTTATTTTCCTGGAGGTTGTTTGTAAAGTGTTTCCAGACGCTAAACAAATGGGTTATTCCAAGTACTCTTGTTTTCTAAGCATTTAGTACCTCCTCCATTGACTTGGATTGAGACTCTGATCTGTTGATTTAGGTGGCTAAAGTATTTAGACAGAAGATAGATGGATGGATGGGTAGAGAGATAGAGATATTTAGATAAACTTATTTTTTAAATAATTTGTTTATGGAAGTCTTGACCATTCATCCTGGGGTCACACATTAGAATAGAGGGGCAGAAAGGGGAGCGAGTACAGAAGAACATGAAAGAGAGAGACAGAGGCTGAGGCACGGAGTGAAAGTCAGCTCAAGTGGGTGACTCTAACCTCTGGCAAGAGATCAGACAAACAAGTTCAACCCAAAGTCAATTTAACTTTATTGGACCACACTGTCGCAGGCAATTAGAAAAATATTTGTAAAACATGAGATGAGAAAGAGGAATGCGGAGCCCAATAACACAAAACAATGTTTATAAGAGAGAAATCATGAAGTGGGAAGAGTAAACACAATTACTCTATCAGCACCTCCTGTTCTTCTCAAGATTACTTCACTTACATGTAGAGAATGCATCCGAGCAAAGGCCCAAACAGTTTCTTTCTAGCACATCCCTACCCCCAAGGTAGTTAGTGTGAAGACTACAAAACCCCGGATTTTTAATTTTGAGGAATTAGAAATAATTACATACTGGATTCCATGGGATTATTGATTATTCTTAGGCCAACTGATAGTGGAAAGCATAAAGGAGAGTAAAGATTGCCTCCCTAGCTCCCATGTGCTCTCGCTTTGCAGTTAAGCAAACACCGAATCAACAACACACACACACACACACAGAAGTTATATGCTTATTTGGACAAGAGAATGTACTTCAGCTCTTTATCCAAATGGGCTTTCAAGGTTCTTTATAGCTCATGACGACTTAATTCAACTTGCTGGGGTATTGGATAATCTTCTCTTACCAAGTCTTGCAAATTGCAATACTTGAGAATCTCGTGAAGCTAGAAAATACGGTGTACTGTGATTTTGCCACTGTCTATCACACTCAACACCACATGCACCCACACTATACAAGGTCTGCTTTTAGTTTATGTTCAATAAGTGGTAGTTCTGCTTATATTCCTCCTTCAAATTGCTCTTGTCCATCAGGCCTCACTGTCTTTACAGAACTGTCTCTGTTATTACTTATCCTTTTTATCTAATCTCTCCTAATTGGCAGATTATGTAGATGCCACTGGGAAAAACTGGTCGTGTAGTTTCTTCTCAGATCACAAGAAACCTTCTACCTCTGTGAAAGCAAAGTGAGGTCAACGGCTATCTCTCACTCCTGCCGTGGATATTCCAGTTCATATGTCAACTCCCAAATCAGTCCTCTGGAAAAGCAATATGCATCCAGATCTATGCCAGGTTCTCTTTATTTAACTATTACTAACTGCATGTGAATATATCTTTATATACTGTGATTCTTAGAGAAATATTAGGTAGTAAAATTCAGATTTCTAATATTTCTGATACTATATATTGTTGAATATTCCTAATCTGGGACTCCTTTTCTAATCATAATAATTCTTTGCAATCCAATGAGCCTCTAGACTTTTTAAAAATGTTTTTAAAGGTGAGAGAACCATACTCTATGTGTTAACTATGATTATGTACAATTAGTAGGAAAATTTGGAGACTAACAAAAGGAATGGCTACATGCACATATAGAGAAAATGCTGGAGAAATAGAAATACTAACCAGATGATAAATTGACAGGCACATGTATGTGTGTGCATGTGTATGTACGCCTGTGTTTCCCTCTGTATTGGTCTACTTTGAATAGTTTTAGAACATGATGTGTTTATTATGTCCTCCGGTCAACACAGTGGACGAGGAAGGATTGCAGGGGCATCTGGTCACTTTTGAAGGACTCTTGTCGAATCAGTGTTCTTGGAAGAGACTGATGTGGTAAAACATTTCTGTTCATTTCCCCCAAAGAAGGTCACGTTGGGTAATGTTCTGTGGGTGGTCACATAAGGAGACACTGGTGTCTGTCCATGACACATACTGTGTAGGAAAGGAGGCGCAGATAAAGGTAACTCAAATTCCATTCCTGTGTTTATGTGATGCTTATCACCATGCTATCTACACATCCAGACGAGAAGCTTTACAACAAGTAGAACTGCCACCTCCATTCATTTGAAGCCTATGGACAATGAGTCTGGGCAGGCTCTCAAAGGGTTAATATGCACATGTGCTCCTGTGCAGTCAGACACGAACATGGACTGACCTAAGTGGCAGTGATCTCCCCATTTCCAATAATGTAAGCAACTGCTTTAGTGGAATACCACTGGAAATGAATCTTCTAAACATATTCTGAGTGCATTTGCAGGCATCTAGCTATTTAAGTTGTTTTTACCTAAGCCAGTGACTTTTGTAAAAATACAGCTATTCACAGTCCTAGTTTATTTTGAAGAGGGATAGCACGGAAAATTTCAAAGAGAAATATTTAGCTATTTTTCCTGTAGGAGAAAGCAAGTGTTATAGTAACTCTGTGCGTGTATGTGTTGTGTGTGTGTGTATATATATATATATATACACACACACACATATATACTATATATATTACTTTTAATTTTAAAAAGTACACATTCCTGTTTTGTATGTAAATATAACTGTTAATAAGACTAGCCCAAAGATGTTTCCCTTCCCCTGTCCTATGAAGTAGGTGACACCTGGAGCATGTTGCAGATTAGGTCCAAACATCACTAAAGTCCACTTGGACTTTTCACAAAGCCAAATGATAACAATAATGAGACTTTTAGAACATCTGCATGTCCTTTGGGGGAGTATTTCTCTTCCTTCCTCTTTCTAGCCTCTAACCTTCTGTGTTTTCTTTTAGTCTTGAACTGTAACTGGGACATTCTGGAACATAGATCTGTTCTTCTTGACCTCAGCTGTGATTAAGCCACCCGAGACAAAGATCAACTTCTGGCAAACGACTTCTCTCCTTACATCAATAATGCAAATTCACCTAGCTGTTTGCAGCTTCTGCTCCAGGTGTGACTGGAGAAAGAAAACCCAGAAGGCAGAGATGCAAGAATTGTCCGTGAGTCATTTAACAAACACATATTGGGTACCATTTATTTACGGGCACTGGGTAGGCCGTATTTTTAATTAATGGATATTAATTTTACTGTACTCTGAAATGCAACTCAGGTTTAAAAGGATAATGAATGGCTTACAGCCTGCATTGGCAAGTACTGTTCTTATTCCACAACCATATGGTGTGGAAGCAAAATTATAATGCTTCAGGAGGGAGGAGGTACTAGTGTAGATTAATCAAATATGCTGGCAGCAAAGATGAATGAAACCTTGGTTAATACTAAAACCTCATTGAAACCATTAGTTCTGACCTCTTTATCAAAACTTTTACCCAGGCTGCTAACAATTAACAAAATTGATGAATCTGAGTTTCAGCCTTTGCTTTTCATCTGGTCATTTGTCAATCAGTAGCATTTATTAAGAATCACTATATACAAAACATTGTGCAGACTTGGAGCCTCCAAACCCTATTAAGGGAAAACCATGTGAGGGAGTATTAATAGCCTTTTTGAGACCAAGTTTTCTCATTTGCAAATAACTTAGCTCAATGGTAAGAAACGGGTTTCTTTTTACAACTGGCCTTCTCAGAGTCTCCCATCTTCCAACACGTTGTTAATATCCAAAGGAGGGTTTAATATTCAGCATTTCCCTTTGTTATCCTTTATTACCCAAGCACCAATTAATATTTTCTGGAAGTAGCGTTCCACAAATCTCAATAGGAGCAGTGGCCTTCGCTTTCAGAACAAGGTTACTATCTCTATTGTAGAGGTTACTGCAGAGCTATACATGTTTAGAGTGAAGAAGGTGAGAGATTGCTTAACCCAGTGGTTCCCAGACCAAAGCGACTGTTCCATTTTCCTGGGCAGCCATTAGAAAATACAAATCTCAAAGTCTCGCCTTCCCCTAGACTTCCTGATTTAGAATTTGGAAAGAACCTGCATCCCTAGTGGTCCTATAGCTAGGTGTGGAAAACACTTTCCAGTTCCAATCAGTCATCGCCAAGTGAGGGTGACATCCTTTTAAAGGATCTCTAGGCCTCACTGTGCCATGGCAGATGACCTGCGGCCTCTCCCTGGTGTATCAGTGCAGCAACCTGAGACCCAGGCTGGTGGCAGCAACCCCAACAGGGATGCAGGCTGTTCTGCAAAATGGACCCACACCAACCAACTTCTCTCTCTGCATTTTGCCCAATAGAATAGAGAGACAACGAGCTGCTGGGCCAAGGCCATGGATGTTCTAGATGCATAGGAAAAATTCAAGAGAAACTAGAACTGGGATGGCTTTTGAAATTCAGAAGAGGCAGAAGCTAAGAAGAAGCAAGCTATGAGGCTAAAAAAACAAATGAAA